CACAGTAAGGAAAAACACAAATATGTTCTTATCTTTCAATTTGAACTTGAGGATAAACCTTTTCCATTGACAGTCTTACACACAACTGTTTGGCCCCTGGCAATGTGTCTAGACAATGTCTGTTACTTGTTTCAGTTCTGTGAAAGACACACTAAATACAATGGTCATCACAAAAAAGCTCTTCAGAAAAAACAGGTTTGAAGATTTTTTTAAAATCTTCTACAAAAAGAAATTAGGTCTGCTTTGCTTTTTTCCTTTACACTTTAATCACACTAAATACAATGGTCATCACAAAAAAGCTCTTCAGAAAAAACAGGTTTGAAGATTTTTTTAAAATCTTCTACAAAAAGAAATTAGGTCTGCTTTGCTTTTTTCCTTTACACTTTAATTTTCCTTTACACTTTAATAGTAAGAAATTATTGGAAGGCTGCTGGTCACAGCGTCATAGTTAAATTGGTCCAGATATTAGCTATTCACCAGAGCACAACAAGCAGGTACATAAGAATAGGAAATGAATACTTTAAAAATTACATACAAGAAGGTGGTGGTAATCAGGGCGCATCTTACTTAGCCAAAACCTCAAAGAAACATGGAAATAAAAGAAAAATACCTAAATATCTTGTTTTCAACAGCAACACTGGCAACATACTCTAAAGTTCACTCATACAGTGTAACCATACTACAGTCACATAATCCAGTACAATTTGTAAATTACTGAGCTGGAGATATTTAATGAATTATCATTATGATAACACATGTCCCTGTAGCTGACCCAAACTACAAAGAATGAAACAAAATTTGGATGAGGTATTTTAGATGTGAAGTCTATTACCTTCATTATTACTGTGGCATACATGATATCTGTAAAGATGCACAAATGTGAACTACTGACTCTCAAAACCAGTATATACAGGGAATACTTCCATTTATAAAATACTGTGGCAAAAATTAAAAATGTTGCAACTAACAGAAAAGAATTTAAGCCAAAATGAATGTGCTGATTAAAAATCCAACTGCAAAAAAGGGAAAGGGAAAGTATAATAGTAAACAGATACAGATGTAAGGATTTTCCTGAGCCAAAGCCACGTTCTTGTCAAATAAGAGAACCTTCATGGAAGACTTACCAAGTAATGAACCTTGCAGTAGTTTGAGCCACCAGCTTGATTCTGCAGTTGTTTCAACACTTAAAATTTTCATTTGTCAAATGGATTTGCATAAGAAAACAATTTAAAAGTGGATACGAAGGTCCACATTCAATCCAAAACCTTTGTATTAAAGTATAACTTTGTAAAGGAAAAAATAATGAAAGGGTGTCTTTTCCTAAACGTGCTTTTTCAATGTAAACCAACATTTCTTTTTGAACAGTTCTTCAGCTTGGAAAATAAAGAATGATACTTTTTCTTTCAAATGTGAAGGAATATGCCAAGAAAACTTATGAAAAAAGATTTATCTGCTGCAGTCATTACAGGGGGTATTATGTTTCCAAATAAACAGTAACTGAAGAACTTTTACTAGAATTTCAGGATTCAAAGGAAGAGACAGTGTACTCTGCATTGCTCTTTTAATCATTGTTGCTCTTCTTCATATATTCTGCTATTTTCCTTAAAATGCACATGCACTTGAACTGAATTTTAAATTTAGTGCAGTGAATACCTTTAAAATAACCTGATAAATCCGCCTCTCCAGTCCATAACAACCCAACTTATGCTACACCTTCAAATTTTTATTCTTTATAGGGTAAGAAGAATACTCTCATCACCATCAGTACAAAGTTGACAGAGTAAGATCTTATGATTCCAGACTGTATTCTCAACAACTCCAAAGATTTTGTAACACTACGGACTGTTCTCACAGTTTGCACCCTCAAACCTGAATATTGACTTAGTATACAAAGCTTTACAGTCACACTTGTAGTGTGATTACCTACTGACATCAATAAAAATTTCAGGAGAGCATTACAAATCACTGGGGTACTAGGAGTGATTGATGAGGCAAAAATAATGGTCTTTAAATACTTCACCAGATTTTAATTCAAGTCATATTAATTAAACATCAAAAAACAAGATGGCAGAGAAAGCATAACACAGCTTTGAACTTTGCAAATCATCACAGAGAAGCTACTGCACACTATAAGGCTGGCTACAGACTAGAACATAATTCAAACACATTAAATTCTGCAGTTAAACATTGAGCTGTTAATACACTAACAGCCTTCAATTACTGACTGCTCTTCCACCTTTCAGGGTAATATATTAACAATTATTTCCACTGCATCAGTAGATGCTCTATCATGTACCATAATCCAGCAGGTAGCACTGAAGCCGACATGACTGGCAGACACGATGGAAAATAATGTCCTATTTTATTGCAACAAATCAAAGATCTATTTATGTCAAAAGCCTCATCAAAAAAAAAGAAAAGAAATAAGAAAGACAGGGACAGCTTAAAAAAAAAAATCTGTATTTTTTTTAATAGCTTTATGAATTTGGAGTAGTCAGAGCATAATTATTTCCACCACAACAGAGTAGTTCCAATTCTACCTGCCTTTATATTGTTGTCGTATGAGATGACATTCATATAGCTGATAATGTCAGAATACAAGGAGCTAAAGGCAGCAGGGGTAAAAGATCTATGCCTGCTACGGAGCACTCTGTCATAATCCATGCTGGAGCCTGAGTCAAACCATTCTTCTGCTGTCAACAAACACTACTGGAATAAAACAATATTTCTTCTTCTGTGGCTACTCATCCAGACTACATATCACCTTCCTACCACAGACAGTTAACCTGTCAGTTTGCATAGTAGAAGTCTGCATAAGAAAGCTAAGGATTTCATCAGTACGTTGCCCATCAAGAAGGATCTGCTGTTGTAAAAATCCAGGCTATTACATACAAAAATACATTAATTTTAAAACCCCAAAGCTAAGACATTAAGATTTTAGAAATGTCAAAATAAGGGTAGCCTGGGAAACTTTGATTCTGCTACCTTCTGTGTGTGCCTTTTCACATCACACAATCTATATATGCATGCAAAATAAATACATGTTTTCCTTCAGACTAATGAATCATTCAGTACTCAGGGTGAACAACACTCCAGGAAGCAGTTGTGGAACACTGATGATTTATCTACAGTATACCAACCTTGTCTAGAGAAGGTAGAAGATGTTTAGTGAACACGATAGGGAATTACAGTAAGGAGGAGAATGCTGTCATGCATTAAAACGTTACCCTTTAGAAACAAAAGTAGAATCTGTTTCTATCACAGGGTTCCTACATGATGACACTTACATAACTCATACACCACCTTCCAACCTCCAAGTCATGCAGTGTCCCCAGAGACTGAACAGAGGTATTAAGACAGCCCTGCGACTGAAGCTACTGAACATACTGGGTATGCACTTGTCCTGAAATTCTTGACCAATTTAAAATTGTTCCTGGAAAATACAGCACTTGGACTTCTGGCAGGAGCAGACAGCATAGTTCACGCTAGACATTCTCAGTCTCCTTTTTTGCACAGAGTCTTTCAGAAGCAAATCACAGCTATCCTGCAGTCCAGGTGAACTGTTGCTGCATCCTGCTTCGCAACGCCATGCTTCCTGAAAAGGCCTTGGCCAACCCTCTTACATCTGACTGGAAACATTCCCATCAAGTGAGAAGAGAAGGCCCTGATGAAACACAGCAGCTGGGAGAAGGGCTGCTACCATGAACACAGGAACAATCTGAAACTACCTGGACGTTTTTGAGAAAGTTAGGAATGGCTCATTACTCAAACAGCAAACAGTCTACAGAGGGTAAAGAGATCATAGGATACCGATCTCAGACTACAACCAAAAACTTCAGATTATAGTTGTGCCTGCCTTTATTTTCATGGTTCTTAGCTTGAGACATTTTATTTGGAGAAACACTGAAGATTCACACTTGCAGTTGTGATCTAACAATAGTTGAAGACAGTTCTAACAATAAGATGAAGAGGAGGTAATGGGATCTACGCTGGCATTTTCATCTCAAGACATTAGTTGCTAAACTTTAAGCAGCTGTTGTTCTTTCCAAATATTTAAAAGTAAAAAGCTGAGTAAGAAGGCAGACATGCAGTTTAAAGGATAGATGGGTGTTGGTAACATCAGCTGACTCAAACCTTGTCTGCAGTAGAAGTTCTGGCACTTCATTCTGACGGTAATTATAGACAGAGAGAACCCAGACCTCTCACTGCATTCTCTGAATATAGTAACATTGACCTTATGATGGGCTTCCACAGTAACTGTTTGAAAGAGTGACTGTCCTCCTGCTGTGAAAACCACTCATTTCAAATTATTTCATGTTGGTAGTTTGTCACGAGTTTTTTTGTTTGTTTTCCTCTTAGCAGAGAAAGAAATACTTTTTTCCAACTCACATCAATACTCTGTAGTCCTACTTTCTAAAATACCTGGTCAAATTAGTGTTCATTGTAAACAATGAAGCAAAGTAATCATCGAAACCTTCAGTTCGTGTCGTCAGTATTTGCTTTCACTCCCTGTTAAGAAATGGTATATTTAGTTTGCTTTTCTGCTTCTACTATCAAGACTACTGGTACAATTGGACAGTTCATTCAAAAACGCAACACTTACATAGCATGAAATTCCACAGACTCATATAAAAAGAGTTGATCTGGAGATATTTAAATTTATTCCCCAAGATAATACCTTGGATGTGGTCAAGGGTTTGCTACTTATCATGTTGTCTAAAAACCCAGAACATCTGCATTGCACACCATCTTCTACAACAACCCAAATCCTGCAAGATCCTTTAGAGTGATAGGTGTATATTTACTACCTGGTAAAACAGCATGCAAAACAACAGTATGTCTAACATCACCTTTCCAAAACATAACCCAATCAGGTTTAGAAACGGTGGACTTTCAAACTCTTGGAGAGGCGGAAGGCAGGAAAGTTAAAACAGTTACTAAGAACATTTCAATAATTCATACTCTCTCACAAACACTGTCAACTTCAACATTCATTTTACCTTGAGAAGGTATGTAGGAATGTTGCTGAAATCTACAGGCAACTTCAAGAGGAAGCGAGCTGAGAATTCTCCAGTCTGTGGAAAAAAGGTAACACTAATGAGACCTGGTCTAAAACAGAACCACAAATTGAACATTCTGAGGATGAAATATTAACCAGAAAAATGTGTAAGAGCTCATACCAAACAGAAGGGTTGAGATTTAAGACAACATTTCTCAATGGAATTACTGAAGAAGAAAAAAATAATTTACAGATTTCACAGATGTTATATGTGAAAACACCTTAAAAACCATAAAACATCATTTCCAGTAAGTCAACAGCAAAAAGTAGTCAGTACGAAACAATGTGCATGACAAAAATCAGACTATACTTTGTTAGGTCCTAAATATAGATGTATCTTGGCTGTACTCATTTCCGGACAAAGGTCCGGCAAGACCTGCAAATGGTCTGAAAGCAAAGCGAAAAACCTGACAAATTTATAAGAGTGTATAGATAAAACAGAGGCATCTTCACAAACACTGCAGGTATGCAGAAGAGAATTTGCATTGAGTAAGGTAAGAATGTATCAAAAGCGTCCTCTAAATAAACATAGAGGAAAGAACCAAAGTAGACAGTTTTATATAATTTGTTTTCAGAATTATGTGACACTTAACACCTAGACAACCATTTACTGAAAATTTGCCAAGCGTCCCCTACACATTGCTCTTTTTTATGCATAAAGTGTATGCAAAGGAAATGGAAAGGATTTCCTTTCTGTTTCATACACTTCCTCAAAACCAGACTTTGTCCACCTGGTTATGAAGCAATGATGTTGGCTCTCTCTGAAAAACAAATGCTTGTCTGATTTCCTCCATATTAATTTTTTGTCATCCCTATTTTTTAATTCAATAAAGTAGCCATACAGCAAGTATATTTGTAATGTTGAATGAGCAGTACAAAAAGCATTAAACATTAATTTTATCAGTCAAGTACAAAAAATCAGGACATCTTGAGACAAGGTAGCAAAACTTTTTTCAGTTTTAACACTGCCCTATCTTTGCATACGTACAGTACTTAGTTACGTGATGACATACAATTTTTAAAAAACAGTACTTCATTTTAACAGGCAAGGGGACAAATCAAAGCTGTGTGAATATGCAGCATTCATTCTTCCACAGTAACACACACGTACTACTTCACTATTCCCTGAACATAGTTATGTGTACCTTATTTTCATTTTACTATTTTAAATGTTTTGCATAGCCACACAAAGAGAGAAGAAAAATACTTTCAAGCAAGAAATCTATGATATACAAATTTTAACAAAGCATATATCCATCTATGGTGAATGTGTATATTGCAATTCTCATTAAAAGGGTGAATGTAAATACTACACTAGATTTAAACAGGATCATCTTTTATTGTGTATACAGCTATACCTTGTGGTAAGCAAAAGCCTGTAATATATCTGGAATAATGGAAGCATCCTTTCTGTAAAATGCAGCAGTGACCCATGGAAGAGATGTAGAGGATCTTGACAGCAAACAGGTTGCCTGGGACCGCGTCCAGACAGCTTCTGAATATCTCTAAGGATGGAGATCCCTCAATCTCTCTGGGCAACCTGTGCCAGTGCTCAGTCACCCTGAATACTAAGGGCTTATAACCCATACAGGTGTCAGAAGGATAATATCTCTAGGATGGAGATCCCACAATCTCTCTGGGCAACCTGTGCCAGTGCTCAGTCACCCTGAATACTAAGGGCTTATAACCCATACAGGTGTCAGAAGGATGCCTTTCGGGCCACTGCTTTACTACGTTTAGTAGATGTTATCACAAGAACTCCACATAGCTATGGGGACAGCTTGTCAAAGGCTATGACAACTCTTCAAAAGGAATGAATTCAATGTCTTTTAAAACCTGTACTGATACTGAAAATTTGCCATATGCCTTTGCCAAATAGCCAGTACATTTGCCTCCCCTCTCAATTAGCTGTGCTAATCCATAAATTGCTTTGAGCTCAGCATTAGAGAAAACATGAAGGTTGTCACTGGCCATACACCACTGGACCACAAGCCTCCACAGTGACAGACCACACCGATTGCTATGCATATTGATTCAGAAAGGAACTGGCTGAAAAAAGTACTGATGGAAACAAGCCTGCAGATGCACAAGCCTCTCTGAGAATGTACTGGAAGTCAAAGTCAATGGAAACTGGCTTTCCAAAATGAATGGTAAGCTGCTAAGCAGGGCAGCTGAAGAATACAAATGACTGTTTGCTAAGCACGTTTTTCTGTGGTACTGACATAAAATAAAATTGAGAAGGAAAAAAAATTCTACAGAACTGGATTCCTTCAATTAATTTTATGCCTGAAGTAAGCAAGGATTTCATCCCAAGCAACTAAGCACATACAGACAAAGATGCTGTATTAGGCAGATGTACAATAAGCAATGCTAATATCAGTGCCAATTTGTTTCTTGGTCTATGTATCAGGCATGAACTAGAGATAACTCATTCTACCTTCCAGTCACTAAACAAGAAAAAACAAGATCCTGAATGCAGCCAAAATCTTTTTAACGGTAACTTGCCAGTTATATCATTTGCCAAAAGGGTTTGTGTGATGATAGGTTGTAACCCACCCTGCTGCCAGCTAGCTCAGAACAGCCCTTAAAATTTGTCCCTGGTAATCACACAATAGAGGCAAAGCAATCGCACGTAGAAACACTATGTAACAAAAAGCGAGTATTTATTACATTAAAGCCAGGCTCTGAAACCTTTCCTGATGACACTACTCGTGAGGATAGATGCTAACTTTCTGATGCTGTATTACTTATGTACGCAGAAAAATCACTGACTTCTTGTGCATGTGTAACATAAAGACTGCTTTGATGACAGTCAGGACACTCGGTTTTTATTCAGAGTGAAATGGGTATTATAGACAGTGCTTCTTGTCTGGTCTTAACTTCCAAAAAGATGCCATACGACATTTGCCATAAATTTGCCATTTCTGGTAAAATACCAAGTCTGATGAACTGGGATGGCCACTGAACAGATGAATGCTCTCTGATCAAAACATCGGCTGCTCCACGATGTGGAAGTAAATAAGGACTTGCAGTCTAGATCTTTTATGTCATTCAATCAAGATTATTTTGCAATGTATTACTTCCAAAAGTGTTCTGGACAGGCAGGGAGCAGTCCCTGTCCATGGTGCTCGCCTACCCAACCCCAACCAGTTGGTCCCAGGCATCAGGTCAAATCAGATGAATTTCTGGCCACAGCACTGGGAGATTAGCTAGTTAACGGGCATCTGTATCAGCTGGTACTCTGCCAACATGAAGCTACTAAGCTAGATAACGGTTTGTCTATTTGTCATAGATCTTGGAGATCACTTCAGGAAATTGGAGATACTGGAACAAAGGTATAAAAGCAAATTTCTGTTCCATTTTGGAACACAGCACTGAATTCAGGCCTCCTCTTCAAACTTTTTCAACTCATGCCCTTAAGATGATTGCTGTCATAACACTGTGCAAGGTTCATTCATAGATGATTATTTCAGAAGTCTGCTGAGCTACTGTTGGTTCCTGAGAGACAGCAACAACATGAATTTCAATGACTTCTAGGCAGAGGAGATAACATGCAGTTTACCTCTTGCTTTTCACGTACACACTCCTATTGCGCCGATCATCAAGACTAACAAGACAGTTGTAAGGGACAGGAAGGAGAACAAGTTAGTTTCATGGTTTTGAGTTTTAGGACACTCAAACAAGCCTCTGTCATGTAGATTACAGTTTCACAGAATCTCCAAACAAGACTCCCAGAGTTTTCTTGATAGAGAATGTAAACTTTGTAAACAAAGCACACGCTACAGAAACCTCAAATAGCTCTGCAATGATTAAAAGGATTTGCCTCAAAATGTATTTATTTTATTGGAATATTTTTTAACTAAGACAGCATTTCAAATGAAAAAAAAAAAAAAATTTCTTTATTCAGTCACCAAAGACCGAGGAAAGATTCAAAAGGCTTGAGTAGATATGGCTTTCCTATAAAAAAGGAAAAAAACCCCTAGTTTTCTACATTCTTGAGAGGAATTTTGGCAGCTGCCAAAAATTATGATAAAATCTCAGTACAGTTCAGGAAGCCTTCTGCATTTCAATAAACCAGTCTGATGATATTTACAGATGTGACAAGTTGTTTGTGATGCGAGCTATAAAGAATAACATTTAAGAACAAATTAATTTCAATGAAATATTCTGATCTATAAACACAAAAAAAGAGAGATCTGAAATTCTCTGATAAAGAAAATTCTACTTGGCTTAAAATAGAAAAGCCTAGATGACTTGTCTAAGAAAAGAAAAACAGGTGAATATAAGTACTGTGAGTTGTAAAGTAAACAACCTTGTGTTACCTGTAGCTTAAGGATGATTAAAGTGACATAAAGCTGAATTCTAGGCCCTGATAACAGGAATACTGAATTTTCATCAACTTTCAGACTGCATCTATTTCAGAAGATACTGCCTCTGAAGGCCAGTATATCTTAAGAGTATGCTACTGCGGAAAGCAACAGAGGGACATGTTCAGCATAAACACAATTAGATATTTCCTGATGTATCTTACTCCAAATTTCCCTTGATAAATATATTACCAGCAGAAAAAACTGATTTTTGCAAAACTTACTCTCTGGCAGAGATCAGTTAAAAAAAAAAAATCAAATCACACACTAACCAAAATGTCTACATTGCCAACAGTCTCATTTTAGAAGGCTGAGACAGCATACACAGAGTGTTTCTACACAGCATGGCACATTTCCCAGGCAAAGGATACAACTTCAGGAAACAGATAAGCCAGCTTAATGTCTGACTGTCATACAAAGACATGGCCCTACAAAGTCACTGCTCTAGCCCATCTCACCTCCTCCTGTCCTTCTACAGAAAATTAGTCGAGTTTTTTTTTCCTCTCTAGTTTAGATTCCTGAAACAATTCATCTCAGCTTACACAAGTGCCAGAGAGATACAGGCAGCCGCAGCTACCAATTAAATAAACTTAATTGTAATGTGGAACCACACCCTAATACATCCTACCCCTAAGCAGGCTGATTTGCCTGGGCAGGGTGTCATACCAACATTGTTAATTCTGCCTCTCAAATCTTCAGAGCTAACTCAAACTTCCACAGTAACATTGTAGAATCATAGAATTATAGAATCATTAAGGTTGGAAGAGACCTCTAAGATCGAGTCCAACCGTCAACCCAACACCACCATGCCCACTAAACCATGTCCCTAAGCGCCTCATCTACACGTCTTTTAAATACCTCCAGGGATGGGGACTCAACCACTTC